CCCCAAAACCCCAAAACCCCAAAACCCCGCTAATTTAAAATAAACTTAGCAGAGTTATTAATTAATAAATTGATACAATTGTACATATATTTTCATTGATAGCTTAATTGAAAGTTGATTTTCACAATAATATTGTCAACGCTCATCTTAATTAGCTGCTTAATATATTTGATTGAAGGAAATCATCGACTAATGTTAGTTATTAAATGAATTCATCATCAATAAGTTCTGATTGGGTTGATCAACATTTGGCTAATACATTAGCATACTTTCGTCAATTATTTGGTCTTTTTGCTGGAGAACTTGCTATGATATTTAGTACTACTAAAGATTTATAGGAGATAATTGCTCGTCTCTTTGTGCCCCTTAATCCATCTTCAGCTTTAAAGAGCCATTCATGTTCATACCATTTAATTAGATTTTCCTCTTAGACTTCTTTCCTTTGGACTCCTTCTATTAAAAATTATAATGAATATTATAAAATTCTTACATTTTTGTGATCTGTTGAGTCATTTATATCAATTTTGCCATTTTAATCGCTGTCATCAATTTCTTATATAAGTTTTATTAGTTTTTTCAAAGAACTTTACTTTTCACCCCTCTGCTAGGTAACATCGCTCTTTCTTTTTTTGTTATGCTTAGAATTTCTATTTTTGATTATCTTTATGAATTTTGCCAAAAGCCATTCGATCTCCTCATTTTCATCTTCTTCTTCCTCCTCATCCTCTTGCTCTGTGACTTCTGCCTCATGTTGAAGTTAACTGTTCAGGTTTTTTTAATCATTTTTAAAACTTTCTAGCTATTTTTAAGATTTTTTCTGTTAATTCTAATTCTATATTATATCTAAGTATATATCATTTACTCTTGATTAACCAACATTTTTAGTTTCTTGCATTAAATCAAGCTTCTTTGTATTAACTACAGAGATTATATTATTCTCCTCTATTTTTTCAATTTTTTTAATTAGAAATTGTTTAGGATTGTTAGATATGGATGATTTTTTATTTGTATCCTATGTATTAGCAACTATGGTACTATAAACATCTTTCTATTTATGTTGATTCTCTGATTTAAGTCTAAAGAAATTTTCTTTCTAACCTATAGCAAATTTTTTGTAGGTGTAATAAAGTTGTAAAATTGAGTTTGAAGAAGTCAAAAGCAGTGTTGAAAGTGTGACTCTAAGTTTCATCAAGTTAAAAAATTATTGCCAGTCTTTGAAAACTTGTAGATTCATCAAAGAAATAATTCCCAGTTTATTTAGCATTACTTATGACTTCGATTAAGATAGCAACTCTGTTTACTTCTATTAATAATCTTCATACTACTCAATCTTATCATTTGAAAACTAATCTTGAATAGTCACATAATTCCACTCTAATTTTTACGAGGAATAATTCTGACTATTGTTAAGCACATCATTTTTCTAATTATCATTGAATTGTAACAGTTCATAATTGTTTTATTGATTGGCATTGGTTGCCTACTTTGCAAATAAGATGTGAGCTTGGTCACTCATTATCCCACTGTTTATGTTGTTATTATTGTGCTGATTATTTATGTTACTCCTCAAATTCTGATCAATATTGAAATTATGCACTGAATCCCAGCAGTCCTCATTCGGACTTTCAATATCCTGTTGACTCTTGTCACTTCTAAACTCACTTGAGTAATTATCATCATCCAGGTGCTTGTGCTCCTTCTTATTACTTTTCTGGTTATCAGATTCCTCCATGATCTACTCCTATTCTGATTCCTCATTCAGTCGAACTTCTTAATTATAAGTGATGTCTCTCTGAAAATTCAAATGATCTAGGGTTTAATCCTATTCATAAGCATTCTCATTCTCATTTGCCTCTGACTAGACATCTGCTTCATTCCCTGGATCATTCGATTTAGTTGTTTTATTTAGACCTGAGTCTTATAAAGCATTGAATGTATTATCATTCTGCCCATTTTGATACATATTATCAATGTTATTGTTATCATCTACCGTATATTCAACATGTTCCTCTTTTTGCTAATCAAAGTTTTACTTCTCTTCTTCATCTGAGTCACCATTCTCATTATCATTGTCCTTGTCACTAGTGTCTCTGCTTTTGTTTTAAGCATCTTTGTGTTTCTTAATTAATCTGCTAGCATTTGGATAATTATCTTCACAATCAGCCTAACTAGCCTCTGAGTTAAGTCGATTAGTACGATAAGCATTCATATCATAATTATGAGACTTGCTATTATTAGATATACCTTCTGCACCGATATCGCAGAAATTTTTATCAAATGTGTCATCTAATTTATTCCTAAGCCCTTGGATAAATCCAGTTTGGCTTTTTGGACTTGACTGCAACAAAAAAAGTTCCCTATGAGATTACTTATTGGAAGTTGGTGTATCATTGAGATTAGGATTGTCCAGAGTTCCACTTCTCGGTTGAGGGCTCTCAGGAACATGGTTTGATTTCTTGGAGTTGCTTCGGGCGATACTCATCTCATCTATTGTTTCTTGATGTTACTTTTGGAGGGAGTTAAAATTAAGCGACAGTATTTCGAATCTTGATTAAGTTTCTCTTTGATTTTGTTGAGTCTGATAATTTCTATAATCTTAATCTAACCTCCCCATAGGACTTTAATCCATCCTTCTAGTTTACTTGACTATCTCCAATTGATCGTGAGAATTTGAAATCTTATTGCCATTCTAAGCTTAGTTTTAGTTGTTAAGGAGTGCTTGAGATTTAATTTCCTCATATGGCCCATTTAAAAGAAATCCATTTAATTAGGCTTCTTGAACTCTAAATCTCCCCTTAACTATAATGAAGTTAGCTTATTTATATGAAACTACCTTCAACTGCATTTTATAGCTAGCTCAGCCCATTATTTATGATCTCCATTGCCCTTTAGTCACCATCGTTCGCAGCTTATAGAGTGATTACACCTCCATCTATGTCACTCAGAATTTCTGCCTGAATTTAGATGATTGTTTGATTGAAGTTGACTTGTGAGATTGAGTTGTTCTTTATTGTTGATGAATTCTCTCCCGAATGAATAATAAACTTTGAGTTTTGATTGTTTGAGGACTTCCCCTTGCTATGAGTGCTACTAACTTCCTAGATTCTACCATTAGATGCATTATTAGAACTTCTTAACCCCAAACTTAGCCTAGGAGGTTATACTACTGCATCAATCATCATTTGATCTGAAAGTTGCTACTAAGTACCTGATTTTGATGTGTTTTGACTGCTTATTTATTAACTTTAAGCCTCTTTTTTAATAAATATGTCATTATTTTGGGTATAGACATCAGCAGACTAACTAAGTACATTATTTTTCTCTTATTCAACAAGTGCACCCATCTCTTGTGAAGAATTTTTCTTAGTTGCAGGTCTTTTCAACTGAAATCTTCCCTTCTTCTCCAATTAGATATCCTCAATTTGCACTGGAACATTCGTGACTCCATCATCAAACAAAGATTGCTAAGTGTTGCTCTAGTGATTCGAGTAAAATATGTTTCCATTGCTATCATGGTTCGAGTTATGCAGCAATGAGGTCTCATCAATTGAAAAATTGTTTGCCTCCATCTTATTAATTATCATTAAGAATTCAGACTTAATTTAAATTAACTTAATATTATTAAGCGACTACGTCTCGATGAAAATATATAAGACAACTTAAAATAGTAAAGTTAATACAATAAAAGTAAAACTATTGATAGGAGTAGTTGTTTATTAATGAGTGTGATAGTAGAAGATATTAAAATCGATCTTTTACTAATTAATTAATTATAAATCTATATTTATAAGCCACTTCAAGGAGAACGTAAATACATTATCATTAGCTGTTTCATAAACAATTCTCATTATCAAGTTCAAGCAATGTGCTTTGACTTCTTGCAGCCTACACAGCAAAGCGTGCATTTATTACAGCAACTGAAATATTAGTTAGCACCACAGCCTCTGCAGCTATAAAACTTCATCTTGCCTGGATGGAAGCTGCACGAATCCTCATTATTGTTCAGAGGTATAAACATCAACCTGCATTTCTAGCACTTGATCTGAGACAGTTTGCTCTTCTCAAAGTCTATGTACAATTACTCTCGCATTGAATCATTTGACGAAAGTAGAGTCTACTTCTTTTGCTAAAGGTCAGTTAGTCTCTTGAATATCTGTTGAGAAATAGTCTCAATAAACTTTTCCGGTATAGTGTCGTTAGATTTTAATTTGTTAATAATCTGATTTTCAATCTGAAGAGTCTTGTCAAACTTTGTCACAAGGTCTTAGTCTATGTTGACTGTACTTTAGGGTTAAAGATTAAGAGTCTACACTCTCTCTTCTTCTAGTTGTTTTAATTATCTCTAATACTAATCAACTTGTGTTATGAAGTTATCATTGTCCATCATCACATTTTCCTTTTATTTGAAGAGTCTGATAACTATGTCCTGCTGGTCGTCAATTCTCTCAACAAGGCTTTTAGTCTTGTTCTCTAAGTCCTGCTTCTCGAGAGACAATTTATTCAGACAGGTGTTGAACTACTATACTATCTCACGAACCTCAGTCTCAGTGAGAGTGTTCTGGCGGCCTCGCTTAACTGAAAGTGGAATTTACTCATCTTCTTTTTCTCTATCTTCGCCATTCAATTCAATAAGTTCTTAGTTGTTGAACTAATTCAACTAATGAAAGGTCTAAGTACCCTCTAACCCATCCCCATCAAAGTCTCCTTATGAGAGAACGTGATCGTTAAGCATGTAGTTGGAGGACATACCTCCTCTTGATGACTTGGAATACTGGCTGTTGAACTGAAGGGAGTAGTTTTCTAATCTTCTGGGGTGATGCAATTGAGGGTTAGGCTAAAGTTACTGTGAATGCACGTGATCACTTACGGAGGCTGAGTTGTATAAATTGCCATTATGGTTGTCTATGTCCTCGGGGTAATGGGAGTAGGAGGTGAATTCAATCTTGTTATTGCCATGGGACGTTGACGGGTACACTGAACTTGGTGTTTATTAATGAAACATACGTTTAACTTAGGCTGGAATATATTCTGACATTAATTATTGACCCTTTTCAATGTTTATTGAATTTGAAATTATTATCTAGTTTTAAATTATTTCTTAATCTGCAAGTATGAAGCGAGCAATCAAGTAAAATCAAAAGATTTAATAAGTCTCTAAAATCCCTCCTAAGACCACCTTCCCTCAGACTGAATCTAAGTTAGGTTTCATCTAGAATTCCTCAATCTAAAGTGCTAACTCATAAAAGAGTGGATTAGTTAGTGGTTAGACTGCCTACAAAAGAGTTCTTAATGATAGTAAACTCCTCGGCTCTAATAACATTACTCCAAATCATCTTAATAGTAGTAATCAGATAAAAAATATCCCGCATTAATAATCCTTAAATTAATCGAATAAGCAACAATCAGGCGGTAGTAATCTAAACAGATCTGGCATCTCTTCCAATGTCAAGAACGATTTGAGAGCCAAGTACGGCAAGAAGGATAAAAAGATTACAGATTTATCCGAGATTCTGGGTCAGGATAGTGATCATATCCCACTCAGAGAAATTGAGGTCTAGATTGAGCTTAGTAATCACAGCCAAACAGTTATCTAAACTCCATTCAGCAACAATATCAGTATGCTTAACAAGAAGGATAATAGTCCTATCTCACTTAGATACGCAAGTCGGGATTTAAATTTGAGTCCTAAGGATGCAGCGGTCTTGGCTGAGTAGTAAATGCTCCTCCGATCTGGAAACTCAGCTTCTCCAGACAATAAAACTGTCATTGAGAGCATCATAGTAAACGCAAAATCCTCTTCAGCCAAGCAATCGAAGAAGACTTCTCCCCTCTCCTCTGGCAAACCCTCACCAATCTTGAAAACAGTAAGCAAATAAAACAAAAAGATTTACTCATCTGGGAAGTTGATGAGAAACAGTCTTGGATTCATTGATGTCGAGGAAGAAGACTCTGATGCCCAGAACCAAGAGAATGGCTTGGACGGCAGATTGGTTTTCAATGACATTTCCATTAAGGAAAACTCTAACATCATCCTTAACTCCAACAAAAAGCATCACAACACTGCCTTGAAGTTTGAAAAGTTAAATGCTAAGCCTCAGCAAGTGCACCAAAACAGCCAAGGCAAGAAGAATCAAGCCAGATCTGGCAACTAAAATAATCAGTAGTCGTCTCAGTCTGGATAAACTAAGCGCAAGTCACCTTCAGTAGGAGAAATCGAAGGTTGTGCTAATTTGTACTCACTTAAGATCAGTGATATTACTGATGCATTGAATGAATTCACACAGCATGAGGAAGCAATCAACAAAAGCTTCAAAGAATCCCCAATCGACTTCAAGCAATCAGAGAGAGGATGCCATGGTGCAGGAGACAATGAATTCCAAACACTTATCCTTAACCAAACCAACGCTACAAGCAGTGGCATCTATTCCCATGACTTTTCTTTAATCAAGGCTTCACCAGGTACTTCAGAGAGAAATTCTTTTGGCGCAAATGAATCAGTGAAAAGTATTAACACTATTCAACCCCCATCCTTTGCTTTCACGAGAAAGGTGGAAGTCATTGATCAATTGAAGAAGAGCATTTTGGTAGAAGGCCGCGTCTTGTGGGAAGTGATGTGGAAAGAAGCTGGAAAAGTAACATTTGAAAGTGAGGAGGCCTTGAAGCAAAAGCATGGCTTTTAATTCGAACAGCAAAAGCAGAAATACCTACAATCTAGGGAGCAAAAGCAGTGAATAAGGGATATCTAAGTAACTATGACCTACTTAAAGGCAAGTCTATACAATTTAAATATTTTATTTATATTTCATTTAAATCTTTTAATTTCACCAAACGGGGTTTTGGGGTTTTGGGGTTTTGGGGTTTTGGGG